AAAGAATATGATATACATCGACATTACCAAACTAAGTGCTCATTACAATGTTCCCAGTTCACAGGAAAGCAATGGTTAGAAAAATTAGAAAGTTTAAAATAGAATATCTTACCATAGCAAAATGCTTCACAAAAATTAAAAATGAAAATGAGGTTGCTGCCAAAGTAAGTTTCTGAGTGGCTCATTTGTTAGCCAAGCAAGGAAAGCCATCTACTGATGGTGAGTTAATTAAATCGTGTTTGATTGCAGAAGCCAAAGAAATGTGTCCAGGGAAAATAAACTTTTTAAAGACTATTAGGCTTTTACCAAGAACAGCAGCTCAAACAGTTGAGGACATTGGAAGCAACATCAATAGTCATTTAAAAAACAGGGCAAATTATTTCAAGTGGTTTTCCTTGTCTCTTTATAAGTTGACAGATCTTAATAATACTCCTCAGTTGTTGTTGTTTATTTGAAGAGTCAATGCTGAGTTTAAAGCGATGGAAGAATTGGCCTGTATGGATAATCTGTAGATGATGGCAAATGAGAATATTTTCAAAAAAGTCAAGAAACCACTAATTCAATACAACCTGAAGCAGAATCTGCTAAGATGCATTTCAAACATGTATGAAGAAGAAAAAGGCTTAGCTGGACAAATGTACAAAGCTTGCGAAAATGTAAGTTGTTTAAATCCTATAGTTATTTGTTACGTATTATTGAACAGCAGGTACTTCGCAGGAAAATATTTTAATCTATCTTGTGTTATTCAACCATTCGTGTCAACAGTTAACTTCATTCACTCTCACGGACTAAACCATTGTCAATTTCATGAATTTTTGTCAGAAAAAGAGGCTGAATATTCTGACTTGCCCTACCAACAGCAGTTCAACAACTTAGCAGTTGTAAGGTTTTTTGTTGTCGTTTTGTTTGTTTTTGTATTTTTATAGCTCGTGGCTGGGATTGAAAATTTTCTGAGCCAGAAGAATCACCCTCAACCACTATTATTGAACACTGAATGGAATTAGCTTCTGCTGTAGAGGTAACAATGTTACTTAATAAATTTAACCTAAAATTACAAGGCAAAATGCTGCTTACATGTGAAATTTATACTGCAGTGAAATCACTTCGATGACAACTGACATTTTTTGAACCACAAGTAATGTCTAGTTACTTAATTGCTTCCTGTGCTGTCAAATGTTAAAACAAAAAATCAAGATTTGCAATCCCACACAAATTTGCAGTGGATATCTTTTCTGAGCTCAGATTACAGTTCCAGTGGTGTTTTTTGGACCCTGATGCAAGTGCAAAGGAAATTTCTGTATTTCAAAAGCAATTTAACTGTGCAGTTGAGGAGCTTCCACCTAAACTTCAGTTGGAAGTGATTATTCTGCAATGTAACAGCATACTGAAAGGCAAATGTCAAGAGAGGAATCTGAAAGAATTCTATAAGTGCCATCTGAGAGATGAATATGCTTAATTAAAACTCAGATGCCTGTGGATTTTTTTTTACATGCCTATGAAGCCAGTTCTCTTAAACTAGAATTGGATTAATAAGCATGTAACCTGTACAATTGCATAGGGCTCTGCTTTCAGAAGGACCTTGCATTTGACTTAATGTTCAATTGCCACCATTTTGCAATTCTTTTTAAAAAATTTATTTATTTATCTGTCTATTTATTTTTGGCTGTGCCGGGTCTTAGTTGCGGCACGTGGGATCTTCGCTGCAGCACGTGGTATCTTTTAGTTTTGGCATGTGGGCTCTTAGTTGCAGCATGCATGTGAGATCTAGTTCCCTGACCAGGGATTGAACCCAGGTCCTCTGCATTGGGAGCATGGAGTCTTACCCACTGGACCACCGGGGAAGTCCGGAGGTGCCTGTGGATTGATATCAGTATATGGCAGTACTTATCTGTGTTAAGATTTTTCTCAAAGATGAAATACATAAAATCTCATTACAGATAAACATTAATGGATAAATATTTGTAACAGATTTTTTATTAAGACCTTTATTAACATGTGCTTGCAGTTTGTTAACACTTGAAAAAATCAAGTTGTAAACTTTTATTACAGATTAAAAGTGAAGTTCCTAAAAATCTTGACCAATTGAAACAAGTTAAAAACCTTTAAAAATATATTGAAAAAAAAAACAAAAACAGGGGAATTCCCTGGCAGTCCAGTGGTTAGGACTCTGCGCTTCCACTGCGCTTCCAGGGCACGGGTTCCACCCCTGGTCGGGGAACTAAGATCACACATGCTGCGCGGCACGGCCAAAAAAATAATAATAATAAGTGTATTGAGATTGTAACTGATTTGATGATAGGAAACACTCACTTTGAACCCTAATTAAGTGAAATATTATCCTCTCCATAAAAGAATGCCATTCTTATTAGGAGGTCTGTAGTATGCAAAAAATCATACTCAATTATTATTAGATTTTGAATTTCATTGATAAAACATTTGTGGAAATTTGTTTTCTCTCATTATATAAGTATCTACATAATGTTCTTGATTTTTCCTCTTGGCTCTCAAAGCCTAAAGTATTTACTCTCTAGCCCTTTACCCACCCCTGCGCTTGACTAAGCCACTTGAGGGAGGGAGACTGTTTATAATTGATCACTATGCAACCAGTATGTAGCACAGTGCCTAACACACAGTAGAAGATCAATAAATACTATTATAAAGAACATAGAATCATAGGGATGACACTGGACTAATATCTAAGGAGCAAACGTTATGATTCTTTAAGACTTGACATTTCTTTTCTACTTTATTAACTCGTGTTCATTTGAGGGCTAGCAGATTGCTTTAAGTTCTCATTGGTTTACATCTTGTGTATCTTGAACACTACACTTCTTCCAGCTAACCTGCCAGTTTTCTGGTCACCAGCTCCTGCTTCCTTCAGTAAGTTCTCTGTTAAAAATCCACTATTTTGGTGTCATCACTTGAAGCTATCCAATGTAAACTGTCTCAATGTCCTTATTCTGGATTGCCCCAGGCTCTGGTCCTCCACAGAGAGCATTCTGGGAGAGTTTCTGGGTTGAGGAAGGAAGGGTGGAAGATGTTCCCTAAACCTGTGGCAAACAGGATCATTAAGATGCCTCTATTTGCAAATCATTTACATGATTAGGGTCTAGTATCCAAAAATATATAACGAACTCTCACAATTGAACAATATAATAATAACCCAATTAAAAATGGGCAAAGGATTGGAATAGACATTTCTCCAAAGAAGATAAGCACGTGAAAAGGTGCTCAGTATCATTAGCCATCAGAGAAAGGCAAATCAAACTCACGGTGAGATACCTCTTCACACTCACCAGGATGGCTGTAGTAAAAAAGACAAAGGTAATTATTGGTGAGGACGTGAAGAAATCAGAACCCCACATACATTGCTGGTGGTAAATGTAAAATGTAAAATAATAAACTTGCTTTGGAAAACACTCTTAGCAGTTCCTCAAAAAGTTAAACATAAGGTTATCATATGACCCAGCCATTCCACTCTTAAGTAAACACCCAAGAGGACATACGTCCTCACAAAACATAAAAGCATAGAAACACATGTTCTCACAAAAACCTGGACACCAATGTCCATAGTAGCACTACTCTTTATATCCCAAAAATGGAAACAACCCAATTGTCCACCAACTGATGAATGAATAAACACAACGTAGTATATCCATACAACAGAATATTATTCAGTCATAAAAAGGAATGAAGTTCCTTTTTACCGATTCATTACTACTTTTTTACTGATTCATGGTACAACAGGGTTGAACCTTGAAAACATAAGTGAAAGAAGCCAGATACCAACAGCCACATATTATATGATTTCATTCATATGAAATGTCCAGAAGAGGCAAATCCAGAGACAGAAAGTTAGATTAGTAGTTGCCAGTGGCTGGGAAAAAGGTGGGGAGAGTGACTGCTAAGGGATATGGGATTTCTTTTGGGGATGATGAAAATATTAGGTAGTGGTGATAGTTGCAAAACTCTGTGAATGTACTAAAACCCACTGAATTATACACTTTAAAAGGGTGAATTATGGGACTTCCCTGGTAGCTCAGTTGTTAAGGATCCACCTGCCAATGCAGGGGACACGAGTTCAAGCCCTGGCCCGGGAAGATCCCACATGCTGCGGATGCAACTAAGCCCATGCGCCACAACGACTGAGCCTGCGCTCTAGAGCCCGTGAGCCACAACTACTGAGCTCGCGCGCCACGACTACTGAAGCCCTCGCGCCTAGAGCCCATGTTCTGCAACAAAGAGAAGCCACTGCAGTGAGAAGCCCATGCACCGCAACAGAGTAGCCCCTCTAGCTGCTAAAGAAAGCCTGTGTGTACCAACGAAAACCCAACACAGCCAAAAAATAAATTAATTTTTTAAAAAGGGTGAATTATGTTATGTGAATTATATCTCAATTTTTGTTTTGTTTTTTTCGGTACGCGGGCCTCTCACTGCTGTGGCCTCTCCAGCTGCGGAGCACAGGCTCCGGACGCGCAGGCTCAGCGGCCATGGCTCAGGGGCCCAGCCCTTCCGCGGCATGTGGGATCTTCCCGGAACGGGGCACGAACCCGTGTCCCCTGCATCGGCAGGCGGACTCTCAACCACTGCGCCACCAGGGGAGCCCTAGGTCTCAATTTTTAACATTCCTCTACTTCATTACGTACTCATCCTGAATACAGCCAATCAAAATCATATTTAGAGGCACACCTAAAATCTGTATCATGCATATAAAGTGTAAATAGTTCTTTCTTATATCTAGTTATATATATGTATATATGCATATACATACGTATACGTGTACAGAAACATAAATGAATAATTTAAATTATTAAGTGTCCCAAGTAAAGCAGTCCCAGAGAACTTAGGTCAGATTCTGGGAGACTCACGATGCATCTTAGCCTAATGGTACAGCCGGGAAGCTCACACGACTACTATGGACGCGTGACCAGCCTACATAGGGGAGATTCGCGACGCGTGAATGACGTCATTTCTGCGCGACTCTTACTTTTGCCTTTATATTTTCCGATGCTGCTCTGAGCTATGCCTAAAGTAGTTTCCCGGTCCGTAGTCTGCTCCGATACCCGGGATCGCGAGGAGTATGACGATGGCGAGAAGCCCCTTCACGTCTACTACTGTTTATGCGGCCAGATGGTCCTGGTGCTGGGTGAGTAGTCTGCAAGGAGCTAAACTTCGGGTTCTCGAGGGCGCATTTCCTCTGGCTGTGATCTGGCAGCCGAGTCTATGCGAGGATTTCCCTCTCCATCAAAATCCTCCGTACCCATCCCGCCCCACTCCAGGGCAGCTTTTCGGTTTTCTGTTTAGCCTTGTGATTCTGTATCCAGAACTCTCTCAAAACTAAATTCCTCTTCCATAAAAAATATACTCACTCTCCTACCCACTCTGCGTCTAGAAACGTTGTAACCTTTCTGCCGGATACAAGTATATTGTAACAGCTCTGATGTTACATGAAAATAACCCCCTACCCGCATTGATCCTACATTCTCCTCCAGCTATAACCTCATTTCTTTGCTTCTTTTATAGCAAAACTTCTAAAAAGAATTACCTATATGGGCTGTCTCTGCATCCTCACTTCCCATTCCTTCTTGCCCTCACTTCAAGCAGGCTTTCCTTCTCACCTCACCATCCAAATCATATTTGTCAAAGTTGCTAACGAACGTGTTACCAGTCCCAGCGGTCAATTATCAGTGCTCATTTAAATCCCCTCTCAGTGGTATTTGACAGATGATCACTCCATCCTTCTTGAAACCCTTCATTTGCATTCAAGACTCCACACTTCACTGACTTTTCTCCTACCTTGATTTTCCCCCCTCTCAGTGTCTGGCTCCTTTTTTTTTTTTTTTTTTTTTTTTTTTTGCGGTACGCGGGCCTCTCACTGTTGTAGCCTCTCCCTTTGCAGAAAACAGGCTCCGGACGCGCAGGCTCAGCGGCCATGGCTCACGGGCTCACGGGCTCAGCCGCTCCGCGGCATGCAGGATCCTCCCGGACCGGGGCACGAACCCGTGTCCCCTGCATCGGCAGGCGGACTCTCAACCACTGCACCACCAGGGAAGCCCCTGGCTCTTTTTTCTGTCTCAGACTTTTAGGCATTGCACGGCCCTACGGCTTAGTCCTCTCATCTGTTCTCAATCTACTCACTCCTTAGGCGATCTCAACCATTCCCAAGCTTTAAATACCGTTTATATGCTGATGACTCCCAAATGTTCCTCTTTAACCTGAATCTCTTCTCAAACTCCAGCTGCCTACTCAGCGTCTCCATTTGGATGTCTAATGGACCACTTAAAGAGACCGTGTTCTCACAACATTTTAAATCAACTATACTTAAATAAAATTTTTTTTAAAATTAAAAAAAAGAGAGAGAGGGAGACCATGTTCAAAATTAACTTCATGCTCTCCTACTTTCTGCTCTCCACTGTACCTCTCAGACTTCCCTATCACAGTCAGTGGTACCATTCTTCACAGAGTATCTCAGAATCATTCTTGACTTCTGCATCCAGTCCATCAACAAATTCTGCAGGTGCTTCCTTGAAAATCTATCTAGAATCTACTTTTTACCACCTCCATTTCTCCAAGCCACCACCATCCCTCACCTGGATTGCCACAGCAGTCTCTTGCTCACCACTTTGTCCCCAGAGTCCTGTTCCAAACCAGTGTTTTCCTGTAATGCCAAGAATAAGACCAAAGTCCATAACGAGACCCTGTGTGATCAGACCTCCAGCTGCCTCTCAGATTTCATCTCCTAACACTCTTCCCCTTGCTCACTGCACTCCAGCTACAGCGGCCTTTTTGATTTTTCTGTCATGTCAAAATGTTCCTGCCCGCAGGGCCTTTGGGATCGGTATTTCTTCTGCCTCAAACCAGGTCTCAAACCAAACCTTCTGCCTCAAATTCAGGTCTCTGCTGAAATGTCACTTCCTTGGAGAACCCTTCTGTGACTACCTTATCTAAAATAGCACCCCGTCACTCTTTGTCCTCTTACCGTGCCTGATTTTTCTGGGTAGCACTTATCACTATCTGGATCACTGTGCATCCTCTTAATATCCTGTCTAACTTTTTTTATTAGCACTTATCATTATCCAAGATCATGTTATATAAGTATTAATTTGAAAATTTCTGCCTCCTCTGCTGGCCCATAAACTTCATCAGGTCAGGGTCTTTGTCTGCTCGGTTCTTTGCTGAATCCTTAGCACAGTGTTCCAACTGTGCCTGGTACATAGAAGGCCCTCCCGTATTTACTGAGTAAATGAATTCCCTTTTGATCACTTAGAGGTGGGTCTGAATTCTTGTTCTGCTTCCTATTAAATGCATGGCCGATATCTTAGCCTTCCTAATCCTCAATTCCCTTACCTTTAAGCTAGGAATAGTAAATGTCTACTCCGGCAGGTTGTTGAGAAGAGTCACGAGCTGATGTGCAAACTGCCTCATGCTAACTCCCCTCTCCACCTCCTCCATGAATCTGCAATCACTCTGATCACTTGACTTCTCTGTCATCCTTTAGGTACTTAATTTGCATTGTATCAATTTTCCGTCTGCTTTATAACTGTAACTAATTTATTTCCTGTATGTTTTCATTGTTTTTGGATTAGAACTCCCCTAACTGAGATGGGTCATTCACATACCATATATATAATAGCATACCGCCTACCCACTCTCTCCTTTCCGAAGCACTTATCCAACTTTTCCAATCAATGCCTTCCTCATAGGCATTCCAGGACACTTGATCGTCTCTTCTCATTCTAATGCATTATAGCACAAGCCAAGTGTACCAGGATCAGAAATACTCATAGAAAACTTGAATTGCAGTGCTGGGAAGGACTTTTTTTTTTTTTTTTTTAAGGAACCTCCATATTGTTCTCCATAGTGGCTGTATCAAGTTACATTCTCACCAACAGTGCAAGAGGGTT